TCTTGAGAAGAAGCACTATTGTTGGAACTGTGAAAAAAAGCGTGGATTCGAGTTTCACTTCAGATAGCCCCTTGTCTAGTTGGGAGAACTTTGGAAAATTATTTCACTCCTCTGAGCCTCAGTTTCTTCATATTTGGAACGAATACCTCTGACAAAGCATGGTGTGGTTTATGCAACTCACATATAAATACTAGTAGCTGCTCAAGAAATATTAGTTCTCTTGCTTTCTGGTACATATGGCTGATCTTCTATTAGTAGAATGGTACTGGCCACATTCATTCTTACTGATCCATGTCCATGCTGGGCTAGTTAATTATTTCACATATCAGCCTTGTTTGTAGGAATGTAAGGATATTTTCTATGGGACAGATTTGGATAGTTTTACAAGCACAAAACTTGGGTAAGTTTAAAGTGTAATTAAACAGATGAAAAATAATATCAATTTTTAAATTATTGACAAAACAAGATATTGCAAAGTTTTTATTTTGCAATTGGTCAAATTTAAATTTGGGAAGTATGTCTATTTCATAGTGATCACCCCTAGCAAGGTCTTTTTTTGATATTGCCATAGGAACCCTCGTAGGGAAGTTAAATGAATTGCCACTGACCATGGTGTCATGTTGCATTCTAAGAAGACTGATTGGCCATGACTGGGTCTGGGAGCACTTCCTAAGGGGCTGTTGAGCCCCAAATGAACCCATTGTCCCAACTAGGTATTAAGGGGTTACTGTGCCACAGCTCTATGAGACCTAGGTGCCACTTAGTAACTCTGAAAGTGCCCTGGAAGAGGCCCACTGGATGTGCCCTGAGAAGCCCTTCAAAGTCTTGGAATCTATAAGATTTTTTTCAGTTTGAACACAAATTTGATATATTGATAATTTGCATTTGCTACCCTGATAATTTTCTCAAATAAAAATCCACTGCATAAAACTTTGATTTTCTTCCTTAGTTCTAAAAAGTGAGTTCTAAAAGATCACTATTGCTTTACCCATCAAAATCACTTAAAAACTCTAATTCTCCACACCCTTGTGTGTTGCCTGCAGATTATCTACTCTGAAATTTTTTCACTAGGTGTAGAGAAATATCTAAAGCAGTCTTCTGTCTTTTATGAAGCCCAGGTGCAGTTGTACGCAAAGATTAGTGTTCTGTCAGTTAAACAAAACTGTGTAAAATAGAACATCAGAGAAAAAAATTACCTATGACCCATTTCCTCTGGGGTACCAGGTTTCATCCATCCCTTGATTTTCTCTTAAATGTTGGCCTGTTTGTTTGAAGGAACTCATTTTGGGGGGTACAGCTCATCTAGTGGAAACTGTAAGATGTATCTAATTTGTGTTTCCTTCATGATCATATTGCTTATTTATTTAAAACTTAGCTATCACTATTTACTCAATTTGATTTGATCTCTTTAAGACATATATGTTTAATATTTAAAATATTGTATTCTAAATTTCATCAGCAAACATTTCTCAAATGCCTATTTCAAAAGAAATGGAAAATGAATTCTCTTCTTTAAAAAATCATACATGCAGAGCACATCTAGATGAAATCATGAAAAAAATTTTTTTGAAGCAATACATTGACAGGTAGGTGCTAAAGAATAATTTGCAAAAATGAACAGCGTTCAAGGGGAACTAACTAGGAAATGAATAGAACCAGGCAGGGTACTCAAAAAGGCCCTGGGAAGCAGTGAAACTTATTTTGGGTTTTGACAAAGACAATTTTGGATTAGAGAAAAGTTTTGGGGAAAATATTAGGTAAAGAGGACAATTGACTTTTGTGCAGGGGAAGAAAAACAGACTATTGCAGATAATTGGAGAACTGTTAAAACAATTGGCTCATTTCTTCTTATGCTGTTAAGATTTAAGCAGGAAAACATATCTAGCAAACAATCTATTATATCTATCCCTCACTTCTTCCTTCTAATTTACTGAAAAGCTCACTTACGTTTCTTTTATACAGAATAGTTCCAAATGCTCTAATATTGACAGTTTTAAAATTTGTTTTTCCCCTAAATTTTACATTGTTTTCAATCTAATTCATTTATATATTTTTTGGCTTTCTTTTTAAACATGACACTAAATGTAGACCAGGCAATGTCTGTATACCAACTAAATGACTTCCTAGCTACTATCTGTTGGTTTTCTTTCCTCTTAAGTGGAACAAACTTCCTTCTGAAAAACTTTACTGCAGTTACAAACTGCTGTTTATGATCATTTTAGAAATAAAATTCCATAATCTCAAGTTAACACTGACATAAGTGCTGTCAAGTCAGTGCTGGGGAATGGAAACTGACATCTCACTGTGTGCTCTAAAGTGGGGGCATCCTTTTCCTGCTTATTATTGACTGAGAAATGGATTAAAGCAGTGAAATATTTCAATGGTGCAGACAGAGCAAAGTTGACTTCCTGTTTTGTTTTAGGGTTTGTTTCCTTCTCTTCTCAATGAAGGCTGATTTCTGACATTCTGCAATCCTTTTGCTCAGTGAATTCCCATTGAAAGGGCAGGGTGTGAGGGCCTCTGCAGGTCATTCCATTTACAATATGCCCTGGAAGGGGGTGAATGGAGGGGGGTGCGGGGCAGCTCATTAGTGGCAGGAGCAGAGCAGGAGGGGATGTGTTTTCTATTTTCTTCTCTAGATTGAACTCATTTGGATGGAAAGGGTTTTATTGCTATCATCATCATTACTATTATGTGTGGTGTAATTTTCCTACACATTTCTCTCAAGTGTTAGGTGAAATTGTTGGTGAGAAGAGTTAAATAATAAATGCCATTTAATTTTAGTGAGTAAAATCAGAAAAAAAAGTTCAAGTACTTTAAAGCATTTAGTTTTCACTCTTATGCTTAAAAAGCAAAACTCAGAAGTTCTCAGTCTGCAGGGAAAAGAAAAAAAATTAAAAGAAGAAATTTTTCTTTCTTCTGGTGGCCTATTTGTAATTATGTACAGCATTTCTTCTTTTATAATGAAAGGCAATTTCTCTTCATCTAGTTGTTCAAAATACAGATCTCTGTGGTCCTGAGCTCTGGTTTAAGGCTCCACTATTGCCACAAGGGACCGTGTTTTCTGAGACATGGATCTTTAAAGTGACATTGCTTAAGTCTTTTCCCCTCATGTCTGACTTTCTGCAGTGCCAGAGATCACAGAGGTAAAGCTGTAGTTTGCTTACAGGAAATATCTCCAGGGAGAGAGGGACTCGGATGGGTTCCCAAGTGGGGAAATGGGGTGACTGCTCAGTGGGAAATTGGGGTGGGCTCCTCATTGAGGGCTGGGGGCTCTGCTTTGAAGCCACGGTGATTCTCCCCTGCGGGCGTGGGTAAAAGGTGCAGGTCTCAAGTCAGAGCTGTCTTGGATTACCGCGTCCTCACTGCTTTTCAAGGCTTCCCTCTCCTCCGCCTCCAACCCTCAGACCTTCTCTCCCCAGATCCCATTTCCTGGGAAGATGAGCAGACGTTGGAGGGCCGGGTCTGCACCGGCGGGGCGGAGCTGCCTCTCTTGCGGGGAGGTAGGAAAGTGAAGAGCAGCGGGTCTGAGGCACAGACCTCCCGTCGAGGTTCCTACAGCTGTTTCTCGTGCCAGCGGTGGTGGCTGCAGCAGCGGCAGCTCACCGCAAAAATTGGGTCTTTTGGCTCAGCCTATAAGGCTTGAAAACTCTCACCGCACCGTCCTTCCCCAGTAG